TCTTGATATTTTCTTTGATTATTAGTGCACTTTAGATTCTCCTTTCTCAGAACAATGCGTGATTTCGTAAGAATATCTCATTCATAGCTATTTCGTGGAAGAAAAGATAGAGGGATACGGCTAGCTTCCGCTGTCGCTAACTTGTTCGAGTTCTTTGATAGAGACGTCTTTCTTATTTTTGTGGAGCTTTTTGGCAATCATTCTACAGCTAAAATCAACTGAATTCGAATGATCTACTTTATTTCTTGAATCGCCTGCTTTCTACCTGTAACAGTCGAGACAGAATTTCGTTTCTCACTAGGGATTTCTCGCCGGATAAGGTTTTTCTAGTAGAAAATCAGTAATCATTGAATATAACAAGTCTTAGCAATTTCAACGTTATACTTGTTTTTTTTTGGAAGAGCTTCGTACACCGCTGTAAGAGACAAAAGAAGATTAGGTTCCGCAAACTTGGATCACGTTCGGTGCCCGCATCTTGTTTTGAGCTCTTCGGAAAATTCGTTTTTTGATGTTAAGAGTTCTAATAGATATTCAATGGCTGAGAAATAGACAATTTTGAGAGCACAACTTATTTCCAGGATGGCCTCATAATTGCGTTTTGACAGTATCACCTGTATCACCTGTCGTTCCGTTCATCGTCGAGTGATTCGAGCGAGTACCAGCAACTCTTCCATATTTCCCTATCGCGTGCAAGGTAGCCCATTGGGTTCTCTCCGCTATAAGGATTCGCTGAGCATTATATCTTTCTTCCATCGCTTTCGTGAAGAAATCGGACCAACGGGCCAGTGGTCTTCCGTTAGAGCGCTTGACGTTCCGAGGAATCCAGTCGGTAACAGCTTTCGTCCATCGGTTGTCGTTGAAGCGCACCACGTGTCCGGCCCACCTTATTTTCGACATCCTGGCGTGTAGAATGGCGTCTCTAATTTTCGATTGTTTACGTAGGTCGGAACTTCGGATCCTTTCTCCCACTTGCGAGATACGGACTACTCCTAGCATCGACCTTCCGACTGCGCGTTCGATAACGCCAAGTGATCTTTCGTCCTGCTTACGTAGCGACCAGGACGTGGGCACGGAGTTGGATGTTCTTTGTCCTCTTCACTACATCATCGTGCTCTTAAACGTTTCCCAAGCCGCTCGTTTATTCCTGCTTAGCTCTGGAGCTAGGTCATTCATCATGTTGATTTCACGACCTACATAGACGTAATTGGAGCATTCGGAGATTGTCGTTCCGTTGAGCGTGAATGGGGCGTTTGATACCCATCCGTTCCTCATAAACATTGTTTTCGTTAGATCTAGTTGAAGACCGATCTTTCCACAAACGTTATCGAATTCGGTCAACATTCGTTCCGCTTGACTTATGTTTGGTGTTATGAGAACGATGTCGTCAGCAAAGCGAAGATGGTTTAGTTGTCGACCGTCAATTTTCACTCCCATATCGTCCCATTCTGATTTTCGCATGACGTTCTGCTGGGTGGCAGTAAATAGTTTTGGAGAAATTGTATCGCCTTGTCAAACCCCTCTTCTTATATCAATGGTGATATGTTGTAGAATGGAGATATTTTGGTCGTGAAATCTTTGTAAAGCTCACGAAGAATCATTATGTACCGTGTAGGGACGCCTTGGCTATTCAGAGCCTATATAACCGCTTCTGTTTCCACTGAATCAAAGACTTTCTTCAGATCGATTAAAGTGAGACAGATTTTTTGTTTGTACTCTCGTGAAACTTCAGTGAGTATTGTAGTCGTGTGGATGTGGTCTGTGGTACTCAATCCTATTCGCATGGCTTTCCTTCGTCCAGTATTCTGTCAATCCTGTTTAGGATGACTCGAGTAAAGAGTTTATAGACAACGGACAGTAAACAGATTGGGCGATAATTGCCTATGTCGTGTAAATCTACCTTTTTGAACAACAAAACGGTGTTGCTAGTTTTCCATTGAATAGGAACCTTGCATTCTGACAGGTAGCCAGTGAACAGCCGATGTGTTGATGAGAACTGGCGGCAGATTCTTCAGGTGTTCTCGTCTAATCCTGTGTGGACCGGGTGTTGTTCTGTTCTTCACCGACGATATAGCATGTCGGATTTCGGAAGAGAGGACCGGTGGAATAACATATTCGTTCTCTTTCAATTTATATGAAGGTAAGAGGACGTGGCTAGCGAATAGATCCGAGTAGTAATGGTGGATGATTTTCTCCATAGCCCTTCTCGAAGCTGTAAGTGTCCCGTCAGGGTGTCGGAGTCAATCATCATGGTCTTATAGTTGGCGAAGCCTCGCCGGGCTTTGCGAATGCTCTTCCCAGCTTCTGCACCTTCTGCCATAACTGCTGCTCTTCTCTTCGTGAGGTCTTGTTTTGTCGCTTCTCTGCAGCGTTCCGCAAGATCGGACGTAAGGTTTCGGTCGCCTGCAGCTCGTGCGATTCCGCGTTGACGTATCAGCTCGAGTGTCTGCGGAGACAGGCGTCTCTTCGTGACCCTAGGACTCTCGGCTTTTAAAGCGCTAACGTGAAGGTATTCAACGAGTCGATCTATTCTTCGTCGATGTTGTCAACAACGGTATCTTCCCAAGGGCGGACCAATGATTTGAGATTTGAATACATCCCAGTTTATGGTAGTTCTGGGATTTCGTTGTTTGAATTTAGCGGCTTTCTCTCCTCTCATCGAAAAACGGAATGTGGCGCGAGGAGACCATGGTCTGATCCCGTGTAGAACTTAGGAACAACCAACATCGGTCAGGCAAAATCTTCCATTTACTATGATGTGATCTATTTCGTTATGGTACTCTCCATTGGGAGACTCCCACGTCCATCGCTGAGAGAGAGGCTTCTGGAATTGCGAGTTACCATGGATGGTTTGGGTCGTCATGATAAACTCGGATAGCATCTCACCCTGTTCATTCCATTCTAGTCCGTGGGTCCCTATGTGACGTTCTTCAGACGTTCTTCTAGGTCCAATTTTTGCGTTAAAAGCTCCGACCATGACCTTGAAGAATGTATGATCTTTTCTGAAGAATTTTCCGAGGTCCATTTAGAACGCTTCGACTTCGTCTTCGTCATAGCTTGATGTTGGTGTGTAATCAATGAAGATGGTCAAAGCCGGCGTAGAACCACATCGGTTCAACCGTAATCGTCCGATACGGGTTGTTAGTCGTTCGAACGAATTAATGCTCACGGTCAAATTCGATTTGACAAGGACGCCAACGCCGCCGACACCTCTGCGATCGCGTGTACCAAGGAACAGTTTTCTCCGGTGTCATAATCAGCGTGAAAAGGTGGCGCCTTCTCGTCTCAGCCAGGCCAATGATGTCGCACCTTATTCTTCTTGCTTGAATCAATAACTCTTCTACAGCGGATTCTTGAATAAGGGTTCTTGCAATGTAGGCACAGATCGTCATTTTAGTTCGTTTCGATCTTGACAGCCTAGTTCGGCCCTGAGATTTTAGCAGCCTCTCCGTACTCGTCCTACCTGGCGCTGCGGTACCAGGGGCTCTTTTGGGGTCAGGGGAATGAGGCCCGTTGCTTTTTTTGACAGTAAAAATAAAAACATGTTTCAGATTTGAGCACTTCTCACAGAACACAGCTTTTTCGCTAGACTTCTAATCCAGTAATTTTGTTGTTGAGAAAAATTTCTTATTACACTGTAGCGTCAAAAGAAAGTTTCGCTTCGCAGTTAATCGATATGTTGCAAAATGAACATGAATTGGGGGCAATGTCACGACTTATGAAATCCCACCCTTTGGAGTACGAACTCCAATCTTCCTTTGACTGTTACATTCTCGAAAAAGTCCTGCCCAAAAATAAACTACGTTTTTGTAATTGTTGCGATTTGCACTGAATGGTATTAATTGTTCATAAAAAACACTTTATCTGGCGAGAAATCCTTGAAGGTGAAACATAATTTTATTTCGACTATTACAGTGCTAATAACAAGCTATCTGGGAAACAAAATATACCGTTCAAATTCACTTGATTTTAAATATCGGATGAATACTAAAATCTAGTGAAATAGGTCTTTTCTAAAAAAATCAACTGCTCATGAGCGTAATTCTTAGAATGTGATTGCATATGACAGAAACTGTTTTCAAAAGTAGGATTCTCAAGTCAGTTAGGCGTCTATATTTCTAGAAATACATTCACGAAAGTTTCATTAATGATAACTCGAGTTTGTTCAGCAAAAAAAAAGTTTATAGGAATCGAAATCTGATTATGTAATTCCAGAGAATTCGTCATGAAGTAGACGAATTGGTTTGCGATCGCAAAACGTCATCTTTTATTTATTATTAGAACGTACTGTGGAGCAATTTTCAAACAGTAAGCTTAGTATTTGAGTTAGAATATTTCAAGTTATCGATTGACTACAAAAATATCAAGAACATAGTAGAGAATGTCTAATAACAGTTGGGAATATGCTTCTTTTTTGCAAGGATGTGGTATTTCCTCTGGAAAAGACAAAGCTTTTAAAAGCATTAGCGCTAATCTTGCTGAAATCATTTATACAGGAGTCTCGTCAGTGATATTTCATCGTTTTTTTGATGATAAATTTTTTTTGAAAACTTAGTTAAAGCGACTTTATTGGAACACGCACCACTTTTCGTGACCGTCCGAATGGAACGCCCCGCTAAGGATCACATGACTCTTGTCGTCCGCAAGGGAATATGCTATAGTTCTAATATTGTTATTGCAATGTGAGTACTTTTTAGGTCGTTCGTCTATACGAACTCATTGTTCGTTTATTCTTTATGAAGTGGTATTTAATACACATGTTAATATCGTCAGTCCAACGCTCGTCGGGTTGAAACCAATCGGTCGAGATATGCTTCGATCCACACATATTCAAGCCGTATCAAAACCACCTAGCCCACCACAGAGGCGCATTTTGATTGATTCGTCAAAGAAATCATCGTCATCGGTACATCAGCTGTATCAGTAGAGTCCCAATGACCGATTATTTTCCGTGGGTCAACCGCACCGAATTCACACGGAAACGTCTCTTCTCTTATAAGTGGCACGCTGGCCTGAAATCGAACCAGGATCGTCGAGTGGTAGGCGAGCCTTCTACCACTAAACCACCAATCCCGGTGCGTCGAGTGCACCGAGCCCACACGGGAACACCCCTTTTTCTCTTTTAGCCTGACAAGGTGTGTCTACTTAGACTCACATCAGCTTACAAATTATCGTGCACAAAGGAAGCTTGACAGGGGCACAAGACGAGCAGTTGAATGAGAGTTGGCGAAACGAGATCAGCCTCGCATGACGACGCCTGTGAAGGAGGAAGTGACGACCAGGCAAATATTTTCTATGGATATGTCGTTTCTATAAATATTCCGCTACTGTTAGCAATTTAGGATACTGCGTTATGCAATAATAAAAATGATGGCTCTGATTGAAGCAGAAGGACAGAGCCTATTATTAGATTATATGTAATGGTAACGTTTTTGAGAGCTTGTAGTGACGTTTGTCGTAAACCACTCCATGATGTGCGCGTGATCCGAAATTATTTGTAGGCATCCAGAGGAGTCATAATATGACATGGAAGATGCGTCGAATAACAAGAAGCTATCAAAAGGTGCCAGAGAGGCATCCGACAGAAAGGTGGTGCGACGATATGAGGAACGAAATGACAATCAGGTGAATGTTTTGACTGAGTTGTCGTTTTCTCGTATGTGAAATGCCTATGCGAATACATATACGTGTAGATACATCTATGCAAATACACACGTATATGCATGTGTACATATGCGTACACATGTTCATATACATACGTATACTAATATGTATATTATAGCTGTTGAACTGGATCAAAGTGTCAGTAATGAACTTAGTATGGCTATTTTTCTGCACTACGGAGTGCTCACCGCGTACGGGTTGTGCGCCTAACTGGGACACTGGCCGCTCGTTTTAATGGCGCTAAGGACGATGACGCATTTTCAGTGATTTGCAGAAGTGCTGAAGAAGAGCGTAAACTTTTGACCATCTGTGAAGATGAGGTCACCACTCAATTTATGTAAGTGGTATGGCAGTTTCAGCTCCAGTGGACATGCTATAGCTCCCTGTTCGCAGTACATAATGGTGCCGTTACAGATGCGTGCAAGTAGAGGTGGCGTACAAGTAAGTGTCTTAGTTAGAAATGCATAAACGGAATAGTTTTAGAATCAGATGATTTCAGCACCTGTGGGAGCTATTATTACAAGGCGGGCGTCATCGTAGCGAGAAATTTCGAAAAAAACAATAACCAAAGACGACAGGAAGCGAGGTAATTCTGTTAATTGATATTTTTGGAAATCACTGCACAGCGTCTTGTCTTGTGTTTCTGCTTTGTTTGTACCTGTTTGCTTTTCAATTTTTGTATTCATTGCTTCAGCAAAATATTATTTCTTTTTCTTATCATTTTCATTTTTACTTTATTGCCTTTTTGATTTCACTTTTGTTTTACTTTTTCCTTCTAAATTCCAATTTCTTTTCTTTTATTTCAATTCCTCTATGGGTGACGATGTGTGTCAATAAGCAAGTTGAGATCGATGTTGTGTTTAGCAGCAGCGTAACCCAATAGCGATCGTCGAGAGGTTGGAAGCTTCTGGGTCTTATACTCCTGCTTCACTCCACCCCGCTACACCGCCCTCGCACGGAAGTTGACGTCCAGTAAGCTTCTGTTTCTCTGTACTATTTGTAATTAACATACTTCTTTGTACTCTCCTTTGTGAAAGTAGATAGTGCAGTTTTTTTCCAGTTTAATCACCACAGATAGCCCCACTTTGCGGTCTATTGTCGATGACAACTCTAAGTAAGCATTTTATCTTCTCTATTATACCATTATGCTAAGGCTTTGTCATTATTTCCTCTTCTGGAACTTAGTAGTGCACACTGTTTTCAGTGTGCGTCTTGGTGTGCCCAATAATGCAGTAGTGAAAGAAAAATGTCTCCTTCCACTGTTATGAGCACGAAGCGACCCGGTAGTGCGTCACCAAACCACTCGATTGGTTCATTGAAAGAATTAACATCGAAATAGTAGTGTGGATATAGTTGTCAGTTATCAGTTTGTCAGTTTCGTCAGATTTATATCATCACTGCGATTGATTGTTTAATCAAAACAGCCATGAATGTATAGATGAAACGTTTGTAGCATCGGTTCTACGGATCAGTTGCTACTTCCTAGAGCATTTGGTGAGACGATCCTGCAAGTAGGTCGTTGACATGGTCTATCACAATAAGACCTTCAAAGGTCGCTATCGCGACCGCTGCGGCCAGCCTCGTAACATGTTTGCTTCGTGAGTGGTCGTTTCGTCATCAATTTATTGCGATGCTATCATTCTTTCATTAATGGTTTCCTCTTGTTCTTATCATTTCCTATGACTCGTAAGCTCATACATTGTTAGCGGAGCTCTCGAAGGCGGCGGCGGGCCAACTCCAAATGGGTTATATTTGGCTCGCCACCGGTAGATGGTTTCAGTCACACACTCATATACGCGCCTTTAGTCATGTCGACACATAATCACCCATTGCTCAATATCTTCTGTGTCCTGTTCTCTTCGGTTCTATTCTGTTTTTGTTCGGGGCAAGCATAATCGCATTCACGGGGTTTGACTCCTGGTAAGCCGCGCAGCTCAACGTTATCATAATATTTCCGTCACGGACTGCTGTGTTGTCGAAATATATATATTATTGTTATGCTACCATTGCCATTGTAATGATGAATATATATTCCAACTTGTTGTTTGGGACAATAAATTGTTATTTGTAACGACTCCGTTGTTATTTCTACGGTTTAATTCCAGTGTTCAAACTGCTATTCTATATTCAGTACAATAAACTAATTTTCATTCGTATCCAAGCCCACTATAAGGTGATAGTGGCAGTCCAATCAAACACACACACAAAGTCCATCATGACTAAGAGGCAGAATAATCAGAGTCACTCAGCAGAAAGTCTCTTGATTAGGCGCACAGGCTTCTTGCCCTGTGCTACAATGTTATCCTTATTGCTATTGCTTTACAATATGGATGATTTTACTGATGAGGAGGTTGGAGAAGACCATCGATTAGCGGTCGAACCCTGTATTGCAACGTCGAACGGTTGTGAAGTGGTAGGGTCAAATCTGTTATCCGGAAGGTGGTGAAGAAACCATCCCTTCGCTGGACAGGTATGTCACAAGTGTGTTAGTAATTACCCGAAAGCTTGCAAATGTGGAGAGTGCCATACACACACTTTTCCCAACAGGTCTTTTGAAGCCGTATAGTATTCAAGGTGGAACTGTGTCTGACACTTGCTGCACGCTTTTATCTTTGTCCACGCTTATAATTTACGAGAAGCACGACAAGCACATGAACGTGCAAAGAAAATCTTGTAGTTTCAGAGTCATACGTCTATCTGGGCTTTCTTCCAAGCCGAGAAAAATTTCGAGTTTAATAACAAAGATTGTACTGTACATGTGTGTCACGGCAGGGCGATCGACTGGTCGCATATCGATGCACGGCTAACGTCCTATACCCTAATTACCAAGCGATGCGCGCGAATCTGAAACTCTGTCGTGCTTCCCTTCTACACTATGGTGAAACGGTTTTTCCAAACACCATCAGAGTGTTCGAATCATCGGAACTTACGCCACTTAGTGGTTATTTATAATTGAAATTAAGAACTCTTTCCTGGAAGAAATAAGATTGTGCAAAAAAAACGAAAGTTTTATTTGTGCTACAGCTCTGTCATAAGAAAGTTTCTCCAAAAAGCAGTCACATTTTCGAAGTTTCCGAGATTTGAGCATCGAATGATAATTAGAAGTGCAAGGAAAGAGTTATAAAAGCGAAACATTAAGAAAGACAAGCGGCTCTTGTAAAACACATTTCATTTCGAATCCCACAGCGCCATAAAAAATTCTCTTAGAAAATCGGACACTGACAGTACTCTCTTGAGAGTTAAGTCTTCGAATATTTATCCGAGGGAGTAAAAATCGCAAACATCACATTCATTATAGAGGAATTAGCACAAAAATGTCTTGTTGGGAAATATAATCCTTCTTTCAGCAGTGATTTTCCTATTATACCCTTATATCTCACAAATCTAATTACATCTCTCTTGGGTTGGATATCGCAACCTATATTAAAATTCCTCGGTCTCTTCTCAAACAAAGGATTTTCACCTCCTTCTGAGCAGCTGCAGCACAAATTTGTGTCGGTGGAACGGCGGTTTTCTTCTTTACGAACTTCTTCGAAGGCATGAGCGGCCGATTTAGGCCCAGAAATGAGAATTTGTCCGGGCGCCGGTGACTCCTGTTGTCTGTTCTCTAGCGACCCGTATAGTAATCTTCATAGATAGCAATACCCGTATAGTAACCTTCATAGTTAGCAAAGCTCGAAAGAATCTATTGTCTAACTATTTGTTCTCGGTAAAAGTATTAGCATTTCGAAAGAATACAATAATCTGTATCTACTTGAAGGTATCAATGAATTCCGCAATGAGCGGTGACTGGCGAAGTCTGATTGGCTGTTGAATGTGACTAATTGATATTGGCACCAAAAACACATATCGTAACTGCATCGGTTCGGTGCCCTCAGGTCCACGAATCGCTGTAAAAGATTCCATGTCCTGGGAATATATTCTGTCTTTGATCTGATCTCCTCCTATGACACCGTTATAGCAGTAATCATAGATAGTTTGAAGAAATTTAGTCGAACTACCTGTTCTCAGTCAAATTACTAGCAGTTAGAATGTGTAACCTGACCTGTGTTCAGGTAGAGCCATCAATGCATTCCACTAGAGGAGGTGACATACGTTGTTTGATTAGCTTTTGGATGTCACCATTAGATTTTAATACCTCAGAGAGAAACCGTAACCGTTGGTGGTTCGGCGCCCTCAGGTCAACAACGTTTCATGACAATCACAAATCGCACTTATTACAAAGGAATCACTACAGGAAACGCTCTATTCCGGAAAAATGGTCATTCCTACAGCTGTGCTTTTTCATAGTATCCTCCTAACAGTCATAACAAATAGTAAGGTTGCCAGAGGTTTAGTCGAACTACTTGTTCACTGTCCACGTATTGAAATTTCGAATGTATTACCTGAACTGTGTTTAGGTAAACGCATTAACGCA